TCAGCTTCAATAGGAGGTAAGCAGAAGCATGACCTTTTCAAATATGGCAGGCTGTCAATAAATTTTTGAGATTATCAAAAATGAAATAATATTTGAGATATAAATTTATATCTATTATTAACAACAAACCATGTCTTTAAGTGAATACTCTTCCTTGAGACCTGAGCTAGTAAAAACACTAAGACATCGTGATTAGCATATTTTCAAAGACTGTTTATTTTATTTTTTAGCTCACCTTTTACAGTTTCTCTTAGCTGGGCACCATGACTCAAGCACATAATCCCAGCACTTTGGGAGGCTGAGGCAGGAGGATTGCCTGAGTCCAGGAGTTCGAGACAGGCCTGGGCAACATAGCAACACTCCATCTTTCAAGAAATAAAAAGTAAATTAGCCAGGTATGGTGGTACATGCCTGTAGTCCCAGTTACTCTGGAGGCTGAAGCAGGAAGATCGCCTGAGCCCAGAAGTTTGAGACTGCAGTGAACCATGATTGTACCACTGCATTCCATCCTAGGCAACAGAGGGAGACTCTTTCTCAAAAAAATAAATAAATAAATAAACAAAAGTTAATAATAAATAAAAATAAAATTTATCTCATTTCTACACGATGTTTTAAAGCAGTTGTAGGTATATATTTTATAAAATGAATAAACACAAATATTAGGAGAGATGCTCAGAAATGCTCCCTTGACAGATAAGCAATCAGAAAAGCAGAGATCATTAGTTTCATGGTGAAACAGCAGAAATTCAGAGGGCGATCAGTCAGTTGAAGTCGGTGTTAGAATTTCATGGATTTGGACTTGAGGTGCATAGCAATGGTGAGTCCAAATGAAAGAAAAAGTGTCAACAAAGGCACAAAGAAAAGAACGTTAGAGACAGATCTGACTAATCTGAAGCTAGCATTGGGAGGAATAGAGTCATAATAGTTTACTTTGGGACACACTTGCCTCCTAAAAACCGGAAGTCTCCTAGGCTTTCCTCATCTCCTGGTCTCCCCCTCAATTCTGTCTGTCCCTAGCCTCAGCTGTCCCCTGAGATGAGCTCCACGGACACACTTTTATATCCTGGCTGTCTTTTCCAGGGGCCAGCTAGACAGCTCCTCACATCTCCCTGACTTCTCACATTCCGCAAGCTCCAAACCTTTCATCAGCCTGAACCACCCCATCACCGGTCTCCATCTTCTGCCATCCTGTCCCTTTGCATTTCAACCCTGTGGAGGGATCTGTTGGACTAGTGTCTGTTTTTCATTCCTAAAGCTACTTTTTATACATTTTTCACGAAGTAAAAGCAATTACTATTTAACAAATATTTGTTGAGTATCTACCATGCGCCAGGCACTGATAAGGGTATCCTGACTACCTCAGTGGGGAAAGTACACAAATGATCCCTGATATAGAGAAACAAGAACATCTACGTTTAAAATAATACACCTACAGGTAAATGAAATGCCAGATTTACCAATTATCTGATCTACAAGAAAGATTTATCTGAGACATTTGGCAGCAACACCCGTTATTTTACAGGGATAATATCCTGGTTTGGGGAGTCAAACCGATCTGGGTTCAAGTCTCAGCTCAGTCACTTAAAGTTTAGCCTCTTAGGCAAGTTACCTAAAACCTGCTTCCTCATCTGCAAAATAGGCCTAAAAATACAAAATTGGGGTGTTGCAGGTTTGTATGAAATAACACATGCTAGTGCTTTACACATAGTTGGTGCTCATGTTAGTTTTTCTATAATAAATATGCTCATGTTGATTTCACTGAGAAATGGTGCATGTGTGTGTGTGCACGTGTGTGTGTGTGACATACAAATAAACCAAGTTGAAGAGACAACATGGCATAGGGAACCTGAAGGGTTCCCTAGGGACGAGGTCCTACCCAACCACTGCTGCCTCCTCTATGGAAGCTTCTCAACTTCCCAGTCAGAATTCACTTTTCCTGGGCCCATGAATTATTTCTAGACCACAGTGATTTTTACTGTGGTGGTGTCTATAAATCTTCATTGCTACAATTCTTGAAGGCAGTGTCTTACGTTCTGCATTCCCTTCAGCACCCAATATGGTACCAACCACAAATATTAGCCTTGTGGAATTCAGGTAGCTAGTTGTGTCCCAGCAAGACATTTTTATAAAACGAAATGAAAGAATTGTGGCATAGGTCCTGTATTAGTCGCCTTGGGCTGCCATAACACAATGCCCCAGACCAGGTGGCTTAAACAACAAAACTTTCTCTCATTTCTGGAGTCTGGGAAACTCAAAACCAAAGTGCTCTCAGAACTGGTTTCTGGCGAGGCCTGTCTTCCTGGCTTGCAGATGGCCCCCTTCTTGCTGCCCATGACCTTCACTCCATGGAAACAGGAGAGAAGGAAGGCTCTCTGGTGTCTCATCCATTTCTTGTAAGGATCCCAGTCCTATCGGAGTAGGGCTCCATTCTTATGACCTTATTTAACCTGAATAACTTTTCTTTCTCTTTTTTTGTTTTAGACAAAGTTTTGCTCTTGTCGCCCAGGCTGGAGTGCAATGGCGTGATCTCGGCTCATTGCAACCTCCGCCTCCTGGATTCAAGTGATTCTCCTGTCTCAGCCTCCTGAGGAGCTGAGATTACAGGCTTGCGTCACCATGTCTGGCTAATTTTTGTATTTTTAGAAGAGACAGGGTTTCACCATGTTGGCCAGACTGGTCTCGAACTCCTCATATCAGGTGGTCCGCCCGCCTCAGCTTCCCAAAGCACTGGGATTATAGTCCTGAGCCATCATGGCTGGCCAACCTTAATTACCTTTTAAAAGGCCTGTCTTCTAATACGGCAGCATTGGGAGTCAGGGCTTCAACATATGATTTGGGGAGAGGCAATTCAGTCCATAACAGGTCCTTATCTTTATTTTCGTCTGCAAAAAGAAATGTTAATTAAAGGGAAAGGGAGATTTGTTGTCCCTGATCTCATAAAACTCATATCTATCTTCAAGACTTGAAGACAAAGTTAGAAATGAAAAGAAAGTCAGAACATTAGAGACAGATCTGACTAATCTGGGGCTGGCATTGGAAGGAATAAAGTCATAAAGTTCACTTTGGGAGTGAACTATTATGAGGAGCCCCCTCATAAGGAGCCCCCTCATGCCAATTGTTTCATTAGGAAAGAAAAACTACTAATTGAGGAATCAGGAGTCCAGAGCTTAATGCCAAAAAGGCCATTTACTTACTGTGCATTAATCTCAGGCAATGCATCTAGCCTCTCTTCATTTGCTAGTCTATCAAATGAGGTTAAGATTTCCTGCTACAAAAATGATGATTCTGTGATTCAAAAATAAGGTAATATTTTCCATCTTAAATAATATGCTTTCCCCTTATTAATGTTTTCTCACTTACTGCCTTTGAAAACATATTTAATCTTGGTTATTTTTTACATTGTTTAATGCTTGATGTGAATTCACACCCTAAACACAGACAATCTCTTTGTGTTTACTTGCTCTTCTTTATAATGCCCAGTATTTGAGTAGAAATTCATACTCTTGTCCCAGACCAGTTGAGAAGGTACATCTCTGATTTCTTGCCAGAGTGAGAAATAAAAAAACACTGTAGTGTACTGCTTCCTGATGTCTTTCTCCCGTTTGAACCTCATCTACCTGAAATGTTATCTTTCTGGACCTTCCCTCCACCAGAAAAGCACAATTCCCAGGTAGTATTTCCTTAACGAAACAGATGTGGACTGCATTCTTCAATGAAACTCAACGTGGCACTCCATCTGGTCCCTGGATGTAATTTGGGTTAACTTCACAACAGCCAACCAAAGTCAAAAAGGTGGGGATAAAGTCAGTAGTCCTGTTCACCAAGTTTTCCATCTCTAAGCCTGCCTTCTGGGCACACTGTAGGATCACACATCCTGGTCACTCTGGGATTGGATGTGGCCATGAAACTAGTTGCAGCCAATGAGGAGAAGTGACTGGCGTCAGCTCTGGGTCTACTACTGAGTCGTAGGGCCATCCAGTGCACTCTTCTCCTCTGCCCTTGGTGATCAACAAAGTTCAGCTAGTAACTGCTCTGACAGATTGGGTCATGGAGTGAGGACAAAGAGCAGTCTCCCTATCTCCTCAAGTCCCTCCTTCCCCAGCACAGGGTGGACATACATCATAAGAAAAAAATAAACATTTTTAGTTGGGCGCGGTGGCTCACGCCTGTAATCCCAGCAATTTGGGAGGCTGAGGTGGGCAGATCACCTGAGGTAGGGAGTTCGAGACCAGCCTGACCAACATGGAGAAACCCATCTCTACTAAAAATGCAAAATTAGCTGGGCATGGTGGCACATGCCTGTAATCTCAGCTACTCAGGAGGCTGAGGCAGGAGAATCACTCGAACCTGGGAGGCAGAGGTTGTGGTGAGCTGAGGTCACGCCATTGCACTCCAGCCTGGGCAACAACAGCAAAACTCCATCTCAATAAACATTTTTTTGAAGGTAAAATTACCAACATTTGGAGGTTGGTTGTGACTGAGGCAAAACTTAGTCTCCACTAACTGATGAAGATGGCTACTACAGACCCTGACCCTTTCCCACATTCTTATAATCTGAAAGATAGAGCCCCTCCACCTTGGACAGCACGGTCCCATGTGCATCGTTGTTCAAGTACACACAACTAAATTTTTCAAGAGAAAATAGACTCTCAAGTTCAGTTAAAACACATATATTCTCACAGCTAAGATGTCGGGATTCAAATTTGAAGTGTTCCATCATTTGAGGTTCCATAATTTGAGGGCCTTCAACTGGACCTCTGCTGTCCTACATGGTAGCCACCAGCCACATGTGCTATGGAGTACTTAAAATGTAGTCGGTGCAACCGAGGAACCAAATTTTTAATTCTACCTGATTTTATTTAATTTAAGGTTAAAATTAATGTAAAATATTTTAAATATACTTGATTACATGTTGAAATGGTAATATTTTGGCTATATTAAGCTAAATTAAATATATTCATAAAACTAATTGTACCTGTTTCTTCTTACTCCTTTTAATGTGGCTATTAGAAAATGTAAACTTGTATATGTGTGCTGCCATTCTATTAATATTTCTAATTTATAATTAAATTTTTTGTGTGTGTGTGAGACAGAGTTTTGCTCTTGCTACCCAAGCTGGAGTGCAGTGGCATGATCTCAGTTCACTGTAACCTCCTCTTCCTCCCAGGTTCAAGCCATTCTCCTGCCTCAGCCTCCTGAGTAGATGGGATTACAGGCATGTGCCACCACACCCAGCTAATTTTGTAGTTGTAGTAGAGATGGGGTTCCACAATGTTGGCCAGGCTGGTCTCGAACTCCTGACTTCAGGTAATCCACACGCCTTGGCTTCCGAAAGTGCTGGGATTACAGGTGTGAGCCACCATGCTGGGCCTTAATAGTTCTGTTGAATTATACCAGTCTAGAACCTAATCCTCAGAATTGAAAATTCTCATTCAAGTCCTGCTTCTATTTTCCAGTCCTATGTAAAACTATGCTGTCAAATTCCTTTAGTTTCTAGAGGTGTGAGTGTTCTCTTTTTTTTTTTTTTTTTTTGAGAATGAGTCTCTGTCACCCAGGCTGGAGTACAGTGGTGTGATCTTGGCTCACTGCAACCTCCACCTCCCGATTGAAGTGATTCTCCTGCCTCAGCCTCTAAAGTAGCTGGGATTACAGGCCCACACCACCATGCCTGGCTAATTTTTGTATATTTAGTAGAGATGGGGTTTTACCATGTTGGCCAGGCTGGTCTCGAACTTCTGACCTCAAATGATCCATCTGCCTCAGCCTCCCAAAGTGCTGGGATTATAGGCATGAGCCATTGTGCCCACTCTGAGTTTCCCCTTTCTAGCTCTAGAAATCCCTAATTCACTAAAGATTGAAAGAAGTGTTTCCCCTGCTTCCCTAAGTCCTGAGGAGCTCTCCCCTAGGGAATCCTACTGTGCCATTCTCCTCTCTGAAGCCAGCTTTCTCAGTCCTGATGTCAGGCCTTCTCTGATTTCCCCCTTGGGTTGTTGTAGCCTGTTTTCCTGCTTCCCTGTGTCTCAGTCCTCTTGAAAGCACTGAAGAGTCCTTCTTGGACATCATTGAGTTTGCATGCTGACCCATCACTCTGAAACATCTCCATTATGTTTTCATTTAACAAAGAAATTACTGATCCAAGATGGCTGATCACTAACATCTCAGGATTGTAGCTCTCAGTGAAAGCGCACAGAATGAGAGGACGCCACACTTTCAGACAAATTTTTGTCACTCACAGAGCAGAAGATTCCCAGTGGAAGAGCCCCACCAGTCACCAGCATGACTCTTGTGGCCGGCGCAGCAGTTTTGCCGGCACCTCGGCACGGCAGCTCTTGGTGCAGAGTAAATGGAACTGGTTCCCCTTCTGACCGACATTTGGAGCTCTGGGAAGGCAGAGTTGCCTATTACAGACTCAAGAAGGAAGCCAGACTGGAGATTCCCCAGGCAGAAAAGCACCATCAGTCTTAACGCCACTGTTTTGGTCGGCGCAGTGGGTGGCTCATATTTCGGCCCTGGGAATTAACAACTTGGACGTCCACTCAGAGACCTAATTTGAAAGTTGTTAATTACAAAGACGACAGGTGGATAAATTCACAATGATGGGAAGAAACCAGCATAAAAAGGCTGAGAATACTCAAAATCAGAATGCCTCTCCCTCTAAAGAGGATCACAATTCCTCATCAACAAGGGAACAAGGCTTGATAGAGAACCAGCGCATCCCATTAACAGAATCAGGCTTCAGAAGATGGATAATAAGAAACTTCTGTGAGTTAAAAGAACATGTTGCAGCCCAATGTAAAGAAACTAAGAACTTTGAAAAAAGGTTTGACGAAATCCTAATGAGAATAGACAATTTAGAGAGGAATATAAGTGAATTAATGGAACTGAAGAATACGATATGGGAACTCCGAGAAGTATGCACAGGCTTAAACACTCAAATTGATCAAGCAGAAGAAAGGATATCAGAGGTCGAAGACCAACTTAATGAAATAAAACGAGAAGACAAGATTAGAGAAAAAAGGATAAAAAGGAATGAGCAAAGTCTCCAAGAAATGTGGGACTATGTGAAAAGACCTAATTTATGTTTGATAGGTATACCTGAATGTGATGGAGAGAATGAATCCAGGCTGGAAAATACTCTTCAGGATATTATTCAGGAAAATTTTCCTAAACTAGCAAAGCAGGACAATATTCAACCCCAGGTAATACAGAGAACACCACAAAGATATTCCTCAAGAAGAGCAACCCCAAGGCACATTATCGTTAGATTCACGAGGGTTGAAACAAAGGAGAAAATACTAAGGGCAGCCAGAGAGAAAGGTCAGGTTACCCACAAAGGGAAGCCTATCAGACTTACAGCAGATCTCTCAGCAGAAACTCTACAAGCCAGAAGAGTGGGGGCCAATATTCAACATCCTTAAAGAACAGAACTTTCAGCCCAGAATTTCATATCCAGCCAAACTAAGCTTCACAACTGAAGGAAAAATAAAATCTTTTATGAACAAGCAAGTATTCAGAGATTTTATTACCACCAGGCCTGCTTTATAAGAGCTTCTGAAAGAAGCATTACACATAGAAAGAAACAACCAGTATTAGCCTTTCTAAAAATATACCAAAAAGTAAAGAGCATCAACATAAAGAATTTACATCAATGAATGGATAAAACAGCCAGTTAACATCAAATGGCAATAAACCTAAATTTAAATCGACTAAATCCTGCAATCAAAAGATACAGCCAAAACCCAACTGTATGCTATATCCAGACCCATTTCACATGCAAGGATACATAAAGACTCAAAACAGAGGGATGGAGAAAGATTTACCAACCAAATGGAGAGCAAAAATAAATAAATAAATAAAAAGCAGGAGTTGCAATTCTCGTATCGGATAAAATAGATTTTAAAGCAAAAAAGATATAGTGGTAAAAGGATCGATGCAACAATAAGAGCTAACGATCCTAACACCCAGATACATAGAGACTTAGACTCAATGAGACAGAAAATTAATAAGGATATCCAGGACTCGAACTCAGATCCAGAACAAGTAAACTTAATAAATATTTATAGAGGTCTCCACTTTAAATACACATTCTTGTCCATACCACATCACACCTACTCATAGGTTTAAATGAAATATTGATTGGCCATTATTAATACACCTCCCCCGCAAAAAAAAGAAATTACTAAAGATCTCTGTATATATTGTAGGGGCCATAAGAAGGATGATGCATTGGGAAGAGTGCCTACACCACTGGGTTTTAGGGAAAGGATGCACTTATTCTCACCTCCCAAGCAGAGACTTGGCTTCATCTATTGCTTTTCTTGAGTGATCTCTGAGAAGATGTTTCTACTGGCCATAGTTTCCCCTGTTAGAATGGCTGGTTAGTAAAATCTTTCCTTTGGACAATGGGATTCAGTGGCACCGCTCTAGGGTCTGTCCATTGATTTCCCCTGGAGCTTTTCACAGTCAGAGCTTAAAAGATCTTGGATGATTTAAAGCCTGAACACTAGAAGAAACTCTCAGGATCTTCCAGAGCCCGGGGAGGAGCTGGCATGATGAAGGCCTAGACTCCTTTCATTACCCTTCTTTGCATCAGACATTTATCTGTCCCTTGGTGCTGCCCCTCTGAATGTTAAATAGCTGACCCAGTGTCCTATTCTTAAAAGGCAAGTAAAACATTCCCCAGCCGTGGCCTATAGCCTACCAAAGGCCACTGACGGTGCAGCAAGGTATTTTCAAATCCTGCAAAGATCAAACAATTCTTCCACAGTTGCTCAGACAACCGCAGAAAAATTTACCCCCCACCGCCAACCTCCCCAAGCTAACTTCCTGACCCCAAAACCCAGAGTCTAATCACTGAGCCAATAGCTTTAAGTTTGGGGTTTTGACAGCTACAGAGAGCCAGGCTGCAGAAACGTGGCTTCCAGACAAGGGCAGAGGAAGATGCACGAGAGGTTCTGCAGGCTGACTTACTTTTAAACTGCTGGGTTCTTCTAATCTGCTTGCTGCTGCTTTGCATACATTTACGGTTTGAGTGCCTTCTCATCCCAACTCTTGAAGTTAATTAGTCCTGGGGATTAAAGTCAGGGAAGCTTTTCTTGCAGGAACTAATCAGCCAGGGCAGGGCCTGAGCACACCTTGCATGGTCTCTTTCCCAAACTGGGGGCTTCCAGAATACAGAGGCTGACACAGATCAGGCTCTGAATCTAGATACAGATTCAGACCCAGATAGGCAGCACCAATCTTCAAGCCAAATAAAATTGTGAATATAAATAAATAAATGAACATAATGGATGATTATTTGTATGTCGATAGGTATCACCAAGCTTTTGCACTCAGCTCAATGGTCTGACCATATACTACCTAAATCTCTGGGCTTGGGGACCAGAGCTGTCCTAGATTGCAGTGAGCGATGCTCTACACTGCTGGCCTTGATAACTGCATGTAAATTCAGGTTTCACTCAAGCTATTCTGCTAAGGAGTGTAGAAATGTAGGTTGTTTAACAGTGAAAGAGTGTTTTAAGTGTGTTTACAGGTGTAGACCGTTGTGGTTTTGCATATGTGGGATAACCGATCATAGGATATGATTTTAGTGTCCAGAGCATACTAGAGTTCTACCGACACTACCTCCCACTAGTGAAATCACTGATGCCTGAAGTGCCCTGTGACCTTTACAATCATTTATTTGGCTTAAGGATAAGAATATTTCTAGAAGGAACAATTCATTAAAGATTATTAATTATCTCTAGTTTAGATGATTCTATAGTACCAAACTCCTTCTGAGAACTGTTTTGGGGGAAGAAAGAACAAAGGTTTAAATTGGCTAAAGAGATATTTAGAAAGAGAAATGGGTACAGCGAGTTCTCCTCACTTTTCTGCATTAGACCAGCTCTGGGTGGAGATGGGAATTGGAGAGGCAGGAGCAGAGGGGAGCAAGGGAATTGGGCAGGTATGGATGACCCCAAGTTCCGCCTCCTCCTTCCTGCCCAGTTGCCCTTTGCTTCAGCCTGCTTGTTGCTGGAGCAAAGAGGCCAGACTGGGTTTGGTTATCTTTGTCACCCTGAGGGGAAGGAGGTGTGGTTTTATTTTAACTCGGCTTCCTTTGCTACTTGGGTGTTGCTCTTACAAGTGTTAACTTGCCCTGTTTGTTGGAACTGAGTAGTTGCTCCCTAAGCCCTTGTATTTCAGCAGAAAGAAGAAAAAAGCACTCCTTTGAAGGGAAGGTGGGTGAAAAAGAAAGCCACATTAAAAAGCCAGCCAATGTTAAATTTGGGCTTGCTCCTATTTGTAAGAGGTTTAAAAATACCCTGGGCCCTTTTCTGCGTTTGCACACTAATTTAGTAGCTTGCCCCTATTTCCAAGCAGCCCCTTGTAAAGGCGCTTCCTCTGCTCTTACACCAGCTGAGAGTTTTTGTACCTGTTCTCTGAAAGATTCAGTGACTCTAGAAGCTCCTGTTAGAAACTTGAAGACTCTGGCCTCAGCTAGGGAAGAAGATCTGACTTCAAACATGAGAAACACTAATGAAGAGCTCTTCATCCTGCTCCACCCACCCAGGTACACGCCCCAATCAAGCAAACCTAAACCCACACTCCAGGGGTGTGTCCTCCCCACCCCCAGCTACTTATTCAAAGATAAGTTGACTTAATTGTTGCGAGAGAAGGGTGAAGTGTGCTTATTCCATGTGGGGTGGGGGTTTAAAACAGTTGAGCAAGTCGGGGAGCCACGGAGCTCCTCATAGGAAACAAAATCCTTTGTGTGTCCTAGATGAATGAGTTTTAAAGTCTGGTGCTCAAAATGGAAAAACAAATGGGAACAGACACTAGTAAAGAATGGGTTAAATATAATATGATGTAACTATACATAGAAAACTGAACAGTTGCAAAAAAAAAAAAAGAATGAGGAAGTTTTTGGGCACTGATATGGAACAATTACCAAGAGATATTAAGTGACACAAAAGCGGGGTGTGACACAATGTGGGTAGCCAGCTGCTACTATATAAAAGGTCTCCTCCCTTTTTTTACACACACACGAATCATCTAAAATCAAGACAGGATGAATTTTATGCTGTCTCCCAGTGCCCTAGAATGTTTGAACCCCAGCTCTCCTCAAATGTAACCTTCCCAATATTGGCCTTATTGTCTTCCATCCTCTTTCTTTCCACATGCTCCTATCAGATTAGTTGCATTTGAGAGGGAAACTGCATGCCTGGGGAAACAGATGATAAAAAGACATTTCACTGCCTATCCTTTCATACTCTTCGCATTTTAAAATGCAAATGTATTGCCTATTAGGGAAATAATAATATGGTTTAAATTACGTGGTCAAAAGCTTAATGGAGTAGCAAACCTAATTCTGGTGGTGCAGCTCTCCCACCTGCCAATGGCAAATCTGGTTAATCCAGCCAGAAACCATCCCCTAGGCAGCCTAACAGCCTAATGGCATCAGGTTCAACCTGCAGATTATTTCAGAGGGATGTGGCAGCCTCTGAAGCACTCCCCTTTCTGAACCTACACCTTTCAAATAGAGGCAAGCATCATGCCAGACTGGGTCATTTTCACCAGGCCATCAACATCCCATAGCACAAATCTTAACATATAAATGAATTGGATTTCACAAGTTCTCAACTGAGAAACTTTCCGGAAAAAGACGTTCATGGGATTCTGGGTAATTCAAGATAAAAAAAATATGATTTTTCTAACTGTAAATGTAAGGTTTGTTCAATGCAGATAAAGAAAAAAAAACATACACAAGGGCCATAAATTCTCTCACTAAACATGTTATTGGGGTCATCACTTCATGGTAATATATAGAGGTGGAGATGGTTTGCCTGTGCCCCACCCAAATCTCATATTGAATTGTAACTCCCATAATTCCCACATGTCGTAGGAGGTGATTGAAGTATGGCAGCGAGTGTTTCCCATGCTGTTCTTGTGATAGCAAATGAGTCTCATGAGATCTGATGGTTTTAAAAGGGGCAGTTTCCCTGCACACAAGCTCTCTTCTCTTGTCTGCTGCCATGTGAGATGTGCCTTTCACCTTCCACCATGATGGTGAGGTTTCCCTAGCCACGTGGAACTGTAAGTCCATTATATACCACTTTTATAAATTGCCCAGTCTTGGGTATGTCTTTATGAGCAGCACGAAAACAAACTAATACAGAGGTCTTCTTCTTGTTTATAGCTGCATACTATTCCACTGAGTGGACCTTTCATTGGGATAGTCAACCAATTTCCAAGCTTTTGCTATTATAAACAATGCCACAATATATAATCATGTTTAAAAGTCTTCTTATACTTTTACAACATATTTTAGGATAGATTCCTAGAAGTTGGATTACTGGATCAAAGGGAAAATGCATATGTAATATTACTAGATATGTCAAATTCCCATTCATGAGACTTGCACCATTTTACATTCACTCTAGCAACGTATGGAAGCATCTATTTCACCACAGCCTCACCAACACAAATATGTTGTGACTTAAAACCAAGAAGGATTATTTCACAGTCATGCTGAACATGCAGCATGGATTGGCTGGCAAACTGTTCTTCATCTCCATCATTCCCACTGGAGGTCTAGCATGACAGAGGACTCACTGCTCTACAGTGCTGGTCAGCCAAGGGAAGGTCTCCCTCTGACAGTTAGCTTCTCTGACCCAGGGTTGGCACAAATCGCACTCAATCACACTCACACAGAACTAGTTGGCTAGAACCAGCCAGATGTCCTCAGGGTGTCAGGAGGTACAATCCTACCACATACCCAGAAGCAGAGAGTTCAAAATAGTCCGCAACCAGCATCAAGGACTTAAAGAATAGAAAGTTTAAATGGCATGGTTCTTGCCTTTGCTGGAGCAATCAGTCTAGTTGGGGAGACAGACACATAAACAGAAATCTTTTAGATTCTTGGCAGTCTGACAGGAGAGAAAATTCTATCTCAATGAAGTTTTAAAGTATTTGTTGTAAGTAAGGTTGAGTGTCTTTTCATATATTTAAGAGCCATTTTCCTTTCTTTTTCTGTGAACTCTCTGCTCATATTTCCAACCAATTTTTCATAGATACGTTGGCCTTTTTCTTCTGTGTTTTTTGAAGCTCTTTACATATTATGGTTATTAATTCTTTGTGCTATAAATTGCAAATGTTTCTTCCCAGTTTCTATAGCTTTTTAAAATAAATATATTGTTAACCTCAGATGAAGAAACTAAACGATGAAAGATTTAAGGATACTCCCCAAGGCCAGGAAACAAAAGCTACACACATTTCATTGATAACAAAGCATAGGTGCACAGTAGTTAATAGCAAGAGGTCCATTTGCAGACTCTGTCCCTCTGTGTCAAACTCTGCAGAGCAGCACATGTAGACTCGAGTCCAGATCTACTGGATAACCTCAGGTATGTTACCTCCATGTGTGAGGCCTCTATTTCCATTTTTCTAAAAAACCAAGCAGAGCACCCTGTTTTCAGTTTTATCCAGCCCATTTGTTCAATACCTTCATTGACTCTGGATACCCTCCATGTATATAGTGGAGGTCAGGAAAGGTTTCTCTGAGAGAGTGATATTTGAATGAACTAAGACCTAAGACAAGCAGCCATCGTGAAGATCTATGGAAGAGATTTCAGAGCAAAGCAAATACCAAGAGCTGAATCCCTCAGAGAGAAAAGATACAAAATGTTTGAGGAACAACTGGAATACAAGGTGGAGCCCCATGAATAATGGGGCACCTGATGGTAGATGGAGCTGACAGCAGAGGGCTAGATTACATAGACTGTTCTAGGTTGCCTTGGGTGTTGGGGTGTTAACTGTCTTTTTTCTCTGGCTGAGTCCAGTTGTTTATTTTTCCCATTAATTAATTACTTTTACTTTGTCTTCAGCTTCTACCACAGGAATACTAGCTCTCCCTCACGCTGTTTACTCCTGTTAAGATTTGGAGAAAGCACTGCTCTTGTCCTCCTGCGACCTGGCAGCTCTTCTTCCTGGAGGAGAAAAGCAGTGTGAATGTTACCAATTAACATACACAAGCCCTTCATTTAGCACAATTACACAACAGGCAATTCACTCTCTACATGGAAAGGAAATACACATTCACACATGCTGTCACACGCAACCTGGGCTTTGCCCAGCACAGATCAGTGAGCATCCCTTGTACATTTGCAAGTTGCCTCTTATGCAAAGTTCATCTGGGTACTTATAAGTTCCTTGTGGAGAGAAACTTTATTTATGTTTTGCGCTCTTCATAAATTCTTAGGACATTGTTACATACTCAATACATTAGTGGCTGCTTACTTAGGTTTTCTTGGAGTTTAGCTATTAAGAAGCCCTATTTCAGCTGGCATGCCTATTGCAAAAGGTAGCAACAATTACAGAAGCTAAGGAAACAACTCAAAATCAATATTACCTATGCTTTGGCACCCATTACCCTCCTCCCCTCAACCCCCAACGGCTGGTAACAAATGAGTCTTTCCCCATCTCAGGAAAACCTGTGGAACCTGGAGAGGGCAGTGAAGAGCTAAATGAGTAGTTCTGAAACAAATTACACAGCCTACTGGGAGTACAAGAGACCTATGATAAGATTTTAAATGCTGACTCTTTTTTAATTGGATGCTTGTTTAATTTGAGATTTTAAATATTCTGCTTGAGAAATATATTCTGTAATCACTTTTTATCTTTGGCTATAAATGATATTCCTCTTGTTGTTGATAATGATATCTAATTTAGTAATTTAATTTTCATTCCACCAGACATGCGTTCCCACATACAATTGAAGTATGCATTTAAAAAGAAACCTAAGGCTGAGCAGGCTTCTGCTCATACCTGTAATCCCAGAACTTTGGGAGCCCAAGGCAGAAGGATCACTTAAAACCCACATGTCAAGACCAGCTAGGAAACAGTGAGACCCCCGTCTCTACAAAAATATTTTAAAATTAGCTGGGCATAACAGTGGTGCACACCTGTAGTCGTACCTACTCAGGAGGCTGAGGTGGTGGGATCACTTGAGCCCGGGAGTTAGAGATTACTGTGAGCTATCAGTGCCACTGTACTCCAGCCTGGGGAACAGAGCAAGATCCTGTCTCTAAAAATAAAAAATAAAAAGAAACATATAATATAGATGTATTTCTTGGATCCAATTAATACTTAGTGCTTCTTAGATGCCTGGCACTTTCACAAACACTATTTTATTTAATGTTATCCTAGTCTAGTTTAGTTTTTCCAGTAAACATTTATTAAGCACCTAGAGATGCCAGCACCATACCAGATGATGGGGATACGTATCAGTCAGGATGGACTTGCTAATGCTGTGGTAACAGACAACCCCACATCATAGTGACTTAAAACCAAGAAAGATTGTTTCACACTCACACTGAACATGCAGCATGTGTTGTCTGTCAATCTGTTCTTCATCTCCACCATTCCCACTCGGAGCACAAGGTTGACAGGGGACTCACTGCTCTACATTGCTGGTCAACCAAGAAAATAGCCAAGGGGGTGGGAAGGTCTCTCTCTGACAATTAGCTTCTCTGGGCCAGGGTTGGCACAAATCACAATCACACTCACACAGAACTAGTTGGCCATAACTAGCCAGATGACCTCAGGGGCTCAGGAGGCACAATCCTACCATGCCCAGAAGCAGAGAGTTCAAAATAGTCTGCAACCAACATCAAGGATAAAGGATAGGAAGTTTAAATGACGTGGTTCTTGCCTTTGCTGGAGCAGTCTAGTTAGGGAGACAGACACATAAACAGAAATGTTCAAATCCCAGGTGCTCAGTGCCAACAGAGGTCTGCAAAGAGCTATGGGAGCAGAAAGGGAGAGCGGTGAATCCAGATTGGACGTATGGAGGGTAGTAAAGGACTCAAAAGCCCAAAACAATGATATTCACAGAGTCAGATATAGACTCTGCTCATTCAGCTCTGTTCAGAGCAGACAGAATCTCAGCAAATGGAATTTGAGATTTTCAATCATATTGCCAAGGCCAATCCCATTATGAGATAACTGCCTCAGGTGTTATCAGAGCCTGATGCTATGGAACATGCTATTGTTTAAACAATTCCTCTTAGGCTAACTCTGGTGCTCTCTAAGCAAACATCTCCTTAGAGTTTCTCTTCCAACGTGATGTGAGTCTGATAATGTGCCCATCATGGAGGAATACTGAGGTCCACAAAAAAGTTTCATTTCTCACCGAACTGATGTGCTGACAAACCAAAATTATGAGCCTAAAAGATTCAGGTCAATTGTGGAATCACCAAGACAATGTCATGCTGCATAGATATAAACTTGACATAAATATAATAAATGCTCCTTTTGTAACTGGCCTTTTTCTTCTCAACATGAGCTTTTTCAAGATGTATTCACATAATTACAGGAAAATACAGGTCATGCATTTTTAATTGCTATAATACAGCATCCCTCAATCCTGACTGGACATTAGAATTACTTGGGGAACTTCAGAAAAAGACTGATTCCTGAGATTTATCCCAGGTCAATGAGACCCATGTGTTCAATTTTGGTAACTGTTACATTTACCCTTACAATGAATATATATTTTCTAGTTGATGTGTACAGTTTTATAAATACCCATTATACCTACCATGTTAATTGTATTAGTCAAAATTCCTATGCCCTTACTTGTTCTTTTGTCTTCTTAATTGATTAATTTCTAAGTAATGTATGCAATATAATTTCCTACTGTGGTTGTTGATTTGTCAGTTTCTCCTTGAAGTTCTTCAGTTTGGGGTTTATATATTGTAAGACTATGTTGCTAGATACTTGCTCACTCAGCATTTTAATTTAAATTTTTAATTGTAAAACTATTCCTATTTATTGCTATGAAATAATTATCTTCATCATAATAGTGTTTTTGTTTTACAGTTTATTTTATTTGATATTTGTGTGGGCCCTAGCTTTCCTTATATCAGTATTTTCATAGTATCTCTTTTACCACTATTTTATTTTCAACGTTTTGTGACATTATACTTCTGGATTTTGAAACCATCATATCAAGGTTATAATGTCAGCTTTTCTTTTCTTTCTTTCTTTTTTTTTTTTTTTGACAGAGTCTGACTCTATTGCCCAGGTTGCAGTGTCCAGTGGCGCAATCTCAGATCTCGGTTCACTGCAACTTCCACCTCCTGAGTTCAAGCATTCCTTGTGCCTCAGCCTCATGACTAGTTTGGATTACAGGCATGTGCCACTAATTTTTTAATTTGTAGTAGAGACAAGATTTTGCCATGTTGGCCAGGCTGGTCTTGAACTCCTGACCTCAGGTGATCTGCCCACCTCGACCTCCCAAAGTGCTGGGATTACAGGCATGAGCCACCTCGCCCAGGCTAAAGTCAGTTTTTCTTAAAAAAATCTAAATCTCTGTATCTGAACTGGTGAATTTAGCCCATTTATATTTATCATGATTACTGATAGATTTATTTGGACCTATTTCTGTAATTTTGTTTTGGGCTATTAACTCTTTTATTTTTTTCTTAAACTGTTGGATTTATCATATTTTCTATTTCCTCTTTTGCCTTCTTCTGGTTTTAAAGCAATATTTTCTATTTCTATTTTGAGATTCCCTTAACATTCTTATATATGGTTAATCAACAGAAATCTTAATTTAACCAATATTTCTAACTTCTCATAAATAATAGAATATTAAAACAATTTAAATTCAATAAACTCCTATTCTACATGTAACACTTTTCTTCTATTTTAATTCCACCTTGAAATTACATCTCCAAAACTCATTATTTTGTTAATCCTATTATTGTTTTTATTTGTATCACTGCTTATCAATTTATTAATGTTTCCTATCATTTATTATACATTTTGTATTTCTGTACCACACAGGCAAATAAATGTGGCTATTAAGCCCATATAAGGCATAGGTCAGTGGTTTCATTTTCTCAGTTCAGACTTTATTTTTTTCCCAACAAGAATCCTGTAGAAACACAGAAGTTTCCTTTTTGTATCTTTGGCCATTAGTTTTTGTTTCTGTTTTCACCCTATCATTGAGGGTACAGCCTCAGCCTCTCAAATGTCTTGACTTTTGCTGAAACCTCAAATTTATTCCCATATCGTGCAAGTTCTAGCTCCTTATTTAAAATGTTGTCATTTTTGAAGCTAAGCCCCTGGTTGCAGGAACCCATAAGCTTTACTCCAAGGGCAGCCACAGTGTGAGATCACAAGTTTACTAATCTGGTTTTCAATTCCATCTTAATTTCTGGGATCTAGTGATATCCCTTTATGCTGACAAGCTTAGCAAAATATTTCAAAATTTTTTTACACACTTTATTTGCTTCTTTCAGAATATGTAGTGGGAGAGTTTCAAGTTATCTTAGTCTACTCTTTTGCCAGAACTACAGATATTCTGCGTATTTGGGGTATGTGTGTATATGCACAATAGTGTATGTTATGCATGTGGAAAACATGCATGTAAACTAACAACTCCCACAATTGCATAAGGTCAAATTTCTGCAATAAAGCTCTTATTATATAAAACATAAAATCACTCAGAGTGGTTTTTCCTTCTCTGATTGAACCCCAACTAATAGAAAACTTGGTACTAAGAGTGGTTTTGTTGTTGTTTCTAAATGTGTTTGAAAAGGTGTAGAAAATAAAAAAACAGCTCAGGACTTTATATTCCCAGCTCCAGATCTAAGCAAGGGGCCTAAAATACAAGACTACTCTAAAAGAAACCTTTATCTCCTTCTGCCTTAGGGCTAAGATCTCAAAAGCCACACCCAAAGTCTAGAACTGCAGGTAGCTGATTTACAATGCAAATTGATTCCCTTCCTTACAGAGTCTCCTGTGTTAAAGTTAGGATATTAATTGGTAAAGAGGTGAGGAGGGATCCAAGATGGCCGATTAGGAGCAGTCTGGAATGCAGCTCCCAGTGAAAGCATGGAGGGTGAGTGGTCATCGCATTTCCAGACGAATTTTTATTACCCACAGACCAGGAGATTCCCAGGTGGAGGAGTGCCACGGG